GCTCCCTGCTATGCGGCGGAAGCCAAAATTAGGCATCATAGCGAATGTTCTAACATGCACAACGCAGAATATTCCTTGAATTTACATCTTATGTAAGAGGTTGCCTTGTTACAAGCTCCTACCTTAGACGTAAAGGATAAGGCGAGGCTTGACACAAATCACTGACCCAAGAAGCAACCCTCTGAATTGCGCGTAACATTTCCCGTACTAACTCAATTCTGAACAGCTGAGACACTTTCAAGAGAGTCATGAACTGCTGAGTCGACAAGCCACACATGCTCATTTTCTCTTCATATTCTACGAGTAGCTTCAGAACTTTTTGTATTGCGCCATTATTCGTCACTTTCGTGTGGAAGTACAGAAAGAACGCATGACTCCATCACATATTCGTGGTATGGATTTGCACGGTGTAGATGGTCTGGAAAAATCTTCGAATTAGGGATACGGGCTGGTATGAACTTGAGCAACCAGGTGAGGATAAGGTTTAGGAGCAGTGTTATCTTATTTGTATGTTCTTACGCACTGATCTTGTTGAGCTAATGCAAAGTTGGCATAAGTTTTCATTGTCGTTGTTGTTGTTGTTGGTGTTGCTGGCCGATGGCTGAAGTTCCGGCGATTTCGCCTTCCTCAGAGCCGTGCCGTTACGAGTGTTAACTTATCCATCACTTCGCCTACACAGCTTATGACTGGTCTAACGTTGAACGTTGAACAAACGAGAGACGCAACATCACCAGTTGAGATATACTTATCTGTTTTAATAATTAAGTAAAGAAAAAGGAGAAATGACTCAATCATATCAAACTGGCCATTTTCCGTCTTGACTTTCACATCCATTTTCAAAAGATGGTCGATATGAGAATAACATTTAGTAGATCGTGAAGCCCACGATGACAGACTGTGTCTAAAAATCGACGAACGTGCACAGTGTGATGAATTAATCAATACTGCTAGTGACGCCATGCATACATCTGCACTACGATTACACCCCTTAATAAAACAATTCGGCTTCCTTTTCTTGAACGACTCTTGGTTCAATATGTCGGAAGGGAACCTATGGATTGAATGTAATATGTATCACAGAAAAGAAATTGTGTGGATAAATAATCGTGAATAGACATAGTACAAGTAAAAAAAAGGATAAAGGTCTTGGCGTTTATCAATCCCTGAGCGATGCGCCATGCTTCCATTCGACTTCACTAAGCATCGTTTAGAGGTGATTGAATGTATATCCGGCCTTCACAATGACTCGCGGTCGCCTAGCGATGTATCGAGCTAGTGCTGCTATCTTCCCAGACAAGTCTGGTACCAATTTGTCAACCCCGGAGTGATGGAAGACTTGGTGGGCCATGGATGCAGGGGTCGATTCCACATGTGTGTTGCAAGGCGCCTCTGACCACTGCTCCACACGCGCCCATATTGTACAAGTAGATATAAGGATCATTTCTCAAAGAAATTCACTTGCTGCATAACTCCGATGTTAACACAAAGTCGATCCTAGTAACCATACGCTTTTTTGAGTCAACAATTTCTTGTAAGCTAAAGTAATATTACCACTTCATTTAGGAGAAGTTTTTCAGGATGAGGGAGTGAAAATTGTAGTAGCACTGCAATACATAACGCAAGAGTCTAAATTTGTTAAAAGTTGGTTGACTTCAACATCTAAGGCTGATAACTGGAGCATTGACTGGCTATTATTTTACAGATGGCGATGAGACGTTTTCTTCAGTAATTTTGGGACCCTGAGAGAATTGACATCAGCCGAGTCAAGATTTTGCCCACTTGCTGTTGTTGGGATGGAGCAACATCTACAGAACATACCAGAACATACGAAGTTGTCGAGCGCCTACCGTACCTGGCTGCACTCGTGATCTGCCATCGATGTAGGTTACTTCGCGTTCGAACATGTCCGCCGATTCGACACGTCCGCCTACTCGAGACGTGGCAGTCATCGATTGCAGTTTTTCAGGACGGTTGCAATCGATCTGTTACGCTTCATTTTTGGTGATCTCATTATTCATTCCGGCTGGAGTTTACGAACTCGATTAAGTAGACGTTGTTTAGTGGTTCCGAGTCATTGCATGTGGCTATAGTGTGTGCACGGTACCTCCAAAAAAATCGGACCATTTCCGTTCCTATGAAGATTTTGGTTCTTTCAGATTGCCGCTCATTGACGAAAACAATCTGTTCGGCGATGGACCAGCTAAGAAGTAGTATGTCGAAACTATCAGTAAGTGGACACTTCTTAATTTCTGTAGTTAAATACTAACAGTTAATAGCAGGGCCTTATGCTGAACGTGTGGCCCTCGTCACCTCGCAATCAAAGGCGGAGCACAATAACCAGATCTGACTTGCGACAGCAGTTAATCGTAGACTTTAAGTTTAACTTTCGTTGTACGGCAGTTATACTGATTATCTATGAGAATATCGATGATGTCATGCGGTCCCCATAGGATTCTCGTTCTTCTCCAAGAATACCGTTATTTTCTGATCTAGCTGCAAAATTCTCCCTGATTTCGATCCCAGTTTGCTAACTTTGAGCTTAATTGAACTGTGACGTAGAGCGTGTGTTCATTGAGTGCTTAGCCTAGACGCAGACGGCTCTGAGCGCAGAGGAGATGGGCGTTGAGCGTAGAGGTAGACTGCGTTGGGCGTAAACGAGCGTAGACGCAGACAGTGTTGGGCGTAGAGGTGGACTGCGTTGGGTTTAGACGTAGACAGTGTTGAGCGTAGAGGAAGACTGTGTTGGGCGTAGACGAGGAGGGCGTTGAGCGTAGAAGTAGACTGCGTTGAGCGTAGACCAGCGTAGACGCAGACAGTGTTGGGCGTAGAGGTGGACTGCGTTGGGTTTAGACGTAGACAGTGTTGAGCGTAGAGGAAGACTGCGTTAGGTGTAGACGTAGACAGTGTTAAACGTAGATGAGGAGGACGTAGGGCGTAAACGTAGGTGGTGCTGAGCGTTCTATCATTGACTTCATTAAACCAACCAGTGCACCATATGTCGGAAAACCCGATTGGTTGTAATAATTAGAGGTAATAAGCAGAACCCGATATCGTGCGAGTCCATTCTTCCGGCGTTGTGACTGTCCTTGGCGAAGCGCTTACTAAGAGATTTAAAGCGAACAATGTTGCTGGAGAAGAAGATGTTGTACTATTACGATGTAGGTACGGAGTGTGCGTTCTTTGATGTGTTCAACGCAGTAAATCCTTGGAAGCATTCCAAGCAGCTAACTCTTTTGTGCTCAGATAGGGTAAAAATCGGAAATATAAAAGAAAAGTGCGGAGGTGCGCTCAGGATAAATTGTGGAACCGAATTCCACAGATAATAAAACTATATGTGTGCAGGTATTGCGTCTTCCACCACATAGGTGGTTTGGAACGACTCAAAAAACATTTAAGGATGCATGAAGCCTGTAAACTCCGTAGAACGTGAAAGTATTGAAAATAGGTGAAAAATTACATTAAAAAGATGAGTTGCGGAACGGAAAGCACGAACAATCGGTGTTCTGATCACTTCGGCGACAGAATGGATGGGATGCATTGAGTTCGATGTGAAAAGTGAAGCGGAATCGTGTGTATGTTAAAGAGCACTAGGTTTTGGAGACCTCACTGGTTATACTTTTAACTGTGAAGGGCAGTATACACAGGTGTTGCTGTTGTTTTTACATCTTTTTTCAAGTGTTCTGAGATTGAGTTTAAAGCTTTTTTGGGTGTCCCACCTCGGTGCTTCAAATACCTGCTTACTTGGATACTTGGTTGGCCCGTCCTTACTGGTTGTGCGAACCCCATCACAATCTCCACCTCTTCGCAGATTTGCTGGTTCAGCCATTACGGTTCTCAGGAATCTCGAGCTCAATCTGGCCAAAGTCTGCACCAAGTCGTCACCATCACAGCAGTCGCAGCCCTTGTGGATCAGAGCGAGATTTACAACAATATGACTTCGATACCAGGACGGTGGTGGGTCCTGGTATTGGTTTACTTTTAGCTAGGCTTCTTGATGGAAACGCCGGACGCTTTTTCAGTTTGGGAGGCCCTGCCAGAGAGATAAATCCCCTCATTGTACACCGCAGCCCGACACCCAGGAACAGCTCCCAGCCACAACGAGGCGGGAAATCGTTGTGAGGAGGTGCATCAAATAGCGCAATAAAAGCAAGTGTATTACATTCTGTTCCTTTTATTTTATTACATCACAAGTTTGCCGACCAATGCGTAGTAGTGTTTACGACCAGCGATTCGCTTGTGACGATACACAGATCGGGCCAGCTTTGAGAGTTGTCGATTTTGACAAGTAGTAATTGAGTTCAGAGAACTTTTGCTTGATTGCATACATCCCTTTGCTCGGATGTAATACCCGGTGGTCGGCTTGCGGTTCACAGTTGGTGAACTGTTTTTGTATATTGGAAGTTAAGCTGAGATAAAATTAGAACCTTTTGCCAGAAGGCTAGCTGGCCTGTAAATAGGTCTGTGCACTTGTAATCGAAATTCGAAATTGAAGGTTTGCAAAGTTGCTGGGAAGATTGAGAAACCCTGGTATTTAGAAACACTGTGAACCGCAAGCCGTACCTTCCTTCAAATATGATGTGCGCATGCATGTTGTTTATACAAGAGATGGTCGCAAGAGCTTACGAAGCAAACCAAAGATGAGTATGTGTTTATGGCTCTTAGTGGTCATTAATAACAGTATAGCATGTTTGTGGTCTTCATTTTTTTTGAGCGATTTCGCTGAAAGAGAATTTTCAGTTTTTCTGAACAGCAGCGCAAAATCTCAGCTGTGATTATTTACGAGCATCTAATCAAGTCTTATCCAGACGTATTTACAACAGATGGCGCCCTATTTTACAATCGTGTTGCAGTTTTGTTTTCTGCAGAAAAGCAGTTGAAACTGGACGGGAGGTATCGCTTAATGGGATTGATTTCATAACAATCTTTTCTCGTTTGGAAATGGTTTTTTCTTCCTCATGCGGATGAAGGAATTTTTGTTGGCCGCCAGCGTTTTGTCAAATATGGATGATGACGCAGAGCGAATTCGTGTAGTCATCAAAAAAGTCACTGATAACTTCCAGGTTGGTTGCGTAGAGTTAGGTTGGACTGGCAATGTTCCATTGCTTGGTGTTCCAGATCACATCAAACGATGTACCGAAAGCTGTGAGCGTGCGTGGCATAGAACGCGACAAGTGCGTTCTAGAGGTTTTAAATCTCGCTGTATCACACGAAGGGTACAGGGAGATGTATGTCTAGACATATATATGTATGTATATTTCGTATATATGTATATATTATTGTGTTAGATTTCCAGATCGAATTTCGTTGCATATGGATCTATGCACTATTTATATGATCATCGATCATTTGATTTCAGGTAATTAAGTGTTTAACGTTTATGTGTGTTTGAAAAACAAGAAAGGAAGGCATGAGTCGCTTTTTTTGGTGAATTGGAAATTGAGATTTCTTTTGGAGATCCGACCTCGTACTATATTAGTGTCATATGTGTCTTTTTACAGCGATAATGTTCTCCCAGAGCTCATGGATGGAAAATACATGGGTGTTGGATTATTGAAAAGTGTGAAAGTGCTTGAAGGCGATGATGACAAATGCAGTCCATTTGTAGTAAGAGATGGTTGGCAGAATACATTTTATGCGTGATTTGCCTCGTATACTAATTCTGTTCATTTTAACGTGTTTTAGTAGCGAAGGGCGCTTTTCACGCAGACGAGCAGAATTTGCTCGAGAAAATATGTCAAGTGTCGATCTTTGTCGATCGCCGGACTGGATCTTCGAACTTCAGCGTGCAGACCACCTTCAGACCGAATTTTATCAGAGGCATTCTTCGTCTCATTAAAGGTATATGTCATGACATTATGTCTATCTCTGTATGAGGAGAAATTTAAGGATTATATGTGAGGACTTTATACGAGAGAAAAGGACATTTCCAATCGGAGGTATCACGACCGCTGCTAGTTCACTGAGGTTGGCTTCGTTCGCGTTAGTTTGCCAATGACTCTTTGTTAGTCTTTGAATTTTGTTTCTAGATTTCGAACTGCAGATGGAATGCAGTACACTGTTGAACAATATTTCATGAAATACTACAATATTCAACTAAAGTAGGCCGTTTCTCTGGTGCAAGTCTCAGTTGTAAATTTGGCTATCACATTCTTTTGTTTTAAGCCATACTCAATAATCTTGTTTCAAAAGAACAGAGGCGTGTAGTTAATATTTATTTAGGTGCCCTACTTTGTTTACCGTATCAGAACGGGGCAAGCCATATACATACTACCCATTGCAGCTACTAGCTGTGGCTCCATCGCAGAGGGTCACAGAACGAGGGCGAACTCTTGATGACGATTCGGCTATTATTAAGGCGATACTCCAATTATGGATGGAGTTATTACGTCTTGCATTAGGGTTGATTTTAGGTATCTGCAATACTGTCACTGAATCGTCTTAGCCAGACGAAAGTGATGAAGAACGCGCTTGGGATAGTTCCTGGAAATCCTCTCCTTGAAAAAGCAGGCATAAATATCGACGTGGATTTCACGAAGGCTTTTTTTATTAGTGCAAGTAGTTTGTTTCGAGGTAATGTAGCTTCCTGCAACAAAGACTGACTTACAGGTGGTTGGTCGAGTACTCCCTTCTACAATTATTTATTGAACATCGAGAGCGACTGCGTATGTTGCGTATTTTCGTTACCTCTCGATTTTTTCTGCTTCATTTCTCAGTCGCTTGGTTGTGTAAAGGGGAGTATTATGTTTCAGTGCAAGTGGAGCGGAGATCGTGTTAGCTTTTTTCAGCCTGCCAGCTTATCCAACTGGGCCGTATGTGCAACGTTAACGCTGAACGATTTAGGTCGTGTGCCAATCAAGTGGGAGATTTGTGCGTTGTTGTGTTACGATTAGCCAGCTCTTTATGATAGTATTAAAATAATTAGAGTATACAGTGAACGAATCGAAAGCTGTTGTCGATCTCATGGGACGCAGGTGTCCACAGTCTCCGAAGTCTTTTATGTTAAACGTCAAACTTATGATGGCCTTAAGGTAGATTCGTTAATGATGTTAATGATTTTAGTCGTATAATACACACTTGATAAGCAAAGATATATCTTCGTAGGAATGTAATTGTTTTTCAAATGTGTTACTATGTGATGCTTAGGAATGGTACGCAGAGCAGAAAGAGAAAGGCCGAAAATTTCTCATGTTCATTACATATGACGACATCAAGCAACATAGTTAGTATCTTGCAGAGATACGGATGCATATAAGATTTCATTCTATGCTCCTTCTTTGTAACTCTCTTTTTGTAAATGAGAATCCTTTTAAGCATTATCAAACTTCTCGAAGTGCAGTATCAAATTGTATGCCAAGAGATCATGGCAAGCAGAGTCATTGATGTAATGACCAAAAATCAAAAACGAACACTGGATAACGTGGCTTCAAAGGTTGCATTTTTATCTTTTTATCCAATTAAAGATTTGCAGTTAAAAATGTATCATGCCTAGATTAATCGGAAGATCGGAAGTATAAACTATAATATAGTGTTGGACCAAAAGCTTGGCGACAATATTGTGTTGACAAGATCATTCTTTTGAATATAAGGAACTGGCTCTCCGAAAATGGTGTACTTTTCGTTGGACTTGAGATTTGTAATCCAACAGCGCTGTCGAAGATGGAGAATGAGCGTGGAGCGACATATAAGGTTTCTTTCGTATTTAATGACCTGATCGTCTGATGTGGTTTCTGTTTTAAAGCATACTGTTTAGATGCCCTCGGTTCTTGGTTGTGGAACAAACTGTTGTAGCAATCCTCAGCAGTTCATAGGCGACTACATCTATGTTGAAGCCCGTCAAAGTGATGTGAGTTGTTTTATATCCAAGATTCTTTTGTAACAGCCTGTACGGCAGATGATGGGTTCGAAATTGGCCGAGATTGTCATTGATATTCTCAAAAGACATCAAATGGCGACGTCTGTTACTCTAGAACACATCATCTTCTATTTTACTGGTATATTGGAGGGACAATTCAGTAAGCCGGAATTTCGTGTAATCTTCTCAGAACTCACTTGTTTTTTTTAAGTTTTTTAAAGAAAGTTTTTGTGTTTCAAGATATCTGGCACATACGTGGGTGCAATCTATACAAGTATTTCTTCATTTTCACTAAGAAAGGAACTCAAATGTCACAGCATTAGCAGTGTCAAAGGACCATCACGAGCGCATATATAGATTGGTTAGAATGTTTATTTCTGATATAGTCGTGCATTATTTCAATGGTTAAACTCTTTCTTCTTTCTTCTTTGTTGCAGAATATTCCTTGTAAGCGTGCATCTGAACAGAATATTCCCAGTGGAACTGTTGTTTATACAATGATTGTCTCGCGAGCTATTAACGAGTTTTATCTCAATGCTCATTCAGCGTTTCAGGTGGATTATAAATCGGCTTTCTTGCTAGTTTCGCTTTTCTAACCAATCATGCATACAATTGACGTATTCTCATAGGGCACTGCAAAAACGCCGAAATATTCTCTTGTCGCAGACAATTCCCAGATATCTCTTGACGTTATCGAAGGGATAATTTATGGTCTGTGCTACTTACATAAAATTAACACTTCAACGGTGTCATTCCCAGTTCCGCTAATTGTTGCCAACCGATGTGCAAAGAGAGGACATGTTGTATATATAGCAAACCTGTAGGTTTCGTTTTGTTTAGTAATGTGGTTCAAGTTGATTCACTGCATTACTAAACTGTACATTGTTACAGAAATGGGAAACATGTCGCTGTGAATATTATCGAAGACGCGAATCAATTTCTAGTCAACCATGGAGATCTCAGGAAACTGCGATATAACGCTTAGTTGTGTTTTCAGCCATGTGGTTGTTTGTTGATGACAATGTTCTTTTCACCTTCTCTCATTCTTTTCGTTAACTGTTGAAATGTGTTTTATCAATGTTTACGAGTATCTCATTCATCAACTGTTCCCTATAGAATAACGGTCTATCTTTGTATTCATTCTCTCGGATATCAATGAAGAGATATCATAGCTGTTGAGTTGTGTGTTCTGATTACGTTGCTTGGAACATAAATCCCCGTTAATTTTGACCACATTTCCTTTGCTGACTATATAATTCAGAAGACAATCTTGACAAAGGATATGCCCATTACTCCTGTCAAGATAATGCACTTCTTTGGGTTATAACGGAATCTCCTTACCCCAGGCTGACAGGTGTTGAGACTCGTTGAGGCTGATTAGGGCCTTTCTCTCGTAATTGCCAAATTTCATGTCACACAGCCTACGGGACCTGAAACAAGAGGTAATCTGAAGGTAATACTTGCGCATTGTAGAGCAAGTGGGAAACGACCATCCGTCTTAACATCCGAAGTTTTCTGCGAATGAATATTGCGACTTGTGTTGGTTCGTCAATGGAATACAAGTCTTTCAGTCAATCCTCGCTACTGTTTAATCGCTATCTCGAAGTGGAATGCTCGACTTCTTACGAATTTGTTACTGGGACATTTTGACGGCTTCGCAGAGCTCAGCATTAATATTGGGTAATTAAACCGTTTAAAGCAATGACAATACAATAGTGACTATATGCCAATACGGAAACAATACAGGCGGAAATATGATGACCGATTCACTAAACGAAAGTGGAAAAATACGTAGGAGGATGTATCGAGTCGCGAGAGTAGCTTTTTCACAGACTGGGGATGTAATATGAGGAAGAGCTGTTATGTAGAACACAACTCAACCGAGAAAATTGCGGAGTAAGTGGCAGAGCGCGAGCAGATCAAACCAAATGGTTGGTAGTAATAGCAGGTTATGTGATAGACTGGAGAAGTAGTGTGATAAACAACCGCAGCAGAGAATAAGAAATGACTGAGTCATCGGTAATTGGAACGGAAAATGCGTAGCGTGCAACTGAGGTTATGGTTACTTATGACGAACAGCTCTGCACTCAATTTTATGTGAAATGAAAAGGCAAAAGATGATGGCGACGGTAAGAACACTACTTGAGTAAACTTGGAGATGACCAATGACGCTGGTGCTTACATTTTCGGGCGCGACACCTGCCACACGTGCTTAGGAGACCTTCTGGACAATACTACACACACAATGATATGTCTGGTAGTGGGACGGCTACTGACATTAGTCATCATCGCATTCATACATAAAGTAGAAGCTCTAGTTCTTACTGCTGCGCTATAGATATATCGGTGATTGTTTTATCCTGTTTTCCACAAAGGCAGATAGACATGTAGTCTAATTTGTTGAAAGAACAGTGGGATCATATGAAATATACTCTAATAAAACCGAAAGAGAACTGACTTTTAGGGAAGCAATATTTTTATAAGCTGGCATCTATCCCTCTCCTCCCAACGATTTACCGCCTCATTGTGGCTGGGATGTGTTCCTGGGCGTCGGACTGCGATGTTCAGAGAGGGGATTCGTCCCCCGGCAGGGTCTCCCAAGCTGAGAAGGAGTCCGGCGTTTCCATCAGGAAGGGGGATGATCTGATACTGCGTAGAATGTTGGGAGAACAGCGACATCGGTAAGGCAAAACCGTGTATTTACTATAATGTGGTCTATTTCATTATGGCACTCTCAACTGGGAGACTCCCACGTGCAGCATTGAGGGTTGTGCTTCCGGAATTGCGAGTTACCACGGACGGTCTTGGTCGTCATGATAAACTCGGGCAGCAGCGCACCCTATTCGTTCCATTCTAGTCTGGGGGTTCCAATGTGACGTTCTTCAGACGCTCTTCTTAGTCCAATCTTAGCGATGAAATCTCCAATAATGATCTTGAAGAATGTGTGGTCTTCTCTGTAAAACTTCTCCAAGTCCATATAGAACGCTTCGACTTCTTTTTCGTTATAGTTTGATGGCGGCACGAAAACGACGAAGATTGTCAAAGCCGGTATTGATCCACTTCTCTTCAATCATAAGCGTCCAATTCAGGGTGTTAGCTGTTCGAATGAATCGATATTCATGGACGAACTCGTGTTGACGAGAACACCGACGCCGCCGACTCCTCTACTGTCGCATGTTCCGAGGAACACTTCTTCACCGGTGTCATAGACTTCAGTGAATGGGTGACGTTGTCTCGCCTCGGCTTAGCTAATGACGTCGTACCATATCCTTCTTGCTTGCATGAGCAACTCTTCTATCGAAAACTCGGCTGCAAATGTGCGTGCATTATAGGTACAGATCGTCACCTTTGTTCTTTGCTGTTTAGGAGGCTTAGAATGGCTCTGAGATTTCAGCAGGGTCTTCGTACTCGTCCTACCCATTGCTACCGAATTGGGGGCTCTTTCGAGGTCAGGAAAATGAGGCCCATTTCTTTTAGTGTCTTTAGCTTTGTGATACCTTAGTATAGCTTGCTGGGCACTGGGGCTGGGTATACTCATGACTGGCTTGCCCAGTCTCCCCAAAGTTTACATGGAGCTTATTTATTAGAGGCGACTCTTAACCGTCTCCCATATACTCCCTATCACTTGGTTGCAGGTCTTTGGCCCAATCGACTAATAGAATACAATCCGCATAAACTAGAATGCAACCACACACGCGTCGATGAATACGTCTGGTGAATACAGAAAGTATGTGCCACATCGACGCAGCAGAAACAGGGTCCATCCCTGAATTCATCTGCGTCTCAGGGAAGGAAAGGTCGGTTTTGCTCAGCGACTAACTCCCAATCCGCCATCTGGGGACGCGACACGTAGCCTTACGACCAACCGGCTCGAGATCCCTCACATGAGGGCAATCCGTGGATGGGCTTTATATATATACATATACATATATATATATATACATATGTATATATATCTTCCCAACAGTTCACCGCCTCATCGTGGCTGAGAGGTGCACCTGGGTGCTGGGGTGCCATTTACAGCTGGGTCTCCTAAGGTGAGAAGGAGTTCTGCGTTTCAATTAGGAATCCCAGCTAAGAGTAAACCAGTATCAGAATCCATCACTGTGCTGGTAGCATAGTCGTATGGTGGTAAATCTCCCTCTGATCCACAAGGACTGCGACTGCCTGTGGTGGTGAAGACTGTGGTCAGGCTGACCTCAGGATTCCAAGGAACCAGAATGGCTCAACCTGCAAATCTCCGAAAAACGGAGATTGTGCTGGAACCCGCACAACCACGGACCATTCAAGCATCAAGTAAGTAATAATATTATTTTAAGTTTTTATTTGGGGTGTGATTGAATCATATGTGAACTAAGAGGTGTGTTTATGAAAGACAGGGTTATGTCTCATTCTGCTTGTAATGTTAGTGGTTATCGATTCCATTTGAAGGATGTTGTCATTAATTTCAAAAGAACTTTTCGCATTCTCAACTTGTTTCTGGCTCTTGGCAAACGACTACGTAAGTTCACCTAATATTGAAGAATGTAGTCCTGAGGGGGTTACGAGTGTACTACAGACTTTCTAAATAAAACTTTCTGACTAAAACATATTGACATATACCGACTAGTAACTAAAATAGCAAAACAAGAACTAATTGAAAGTGTAGCAACGGAAAAAAAAGGAACTTCGAATAGCTTGCTGAGCACTCCACTGCTAAAATCGTCTGGTTATCGGAAAGGTATTGAGAGGTTTAGAAAAACAAGTATCATCTAATATATGAGGCACATAAAGTCTAATTTCTAACCAGTAATCGACTGTTTTCACAAATACGGGTATCGCGTGTGGCGCAGTAGTTGGAGTCCACTGCGACACACACGTGTAATCGATCGCTACGCACACGGACCACCAAGCCTTCCATGCCTCCGGAGGCGGAAAATTGGTGCCAGACTTGTCTAGGAGGATAGCAACCTAGCTCGATAGATCGGTAGGCTACCGCGAGTCATTGTAAGGGCCGGGTATGCATTCAATCACCTCCAACGATACTTAATGGAGACGAATGCATGGCGCATCCCTCAGGGATTGATCAACGCCGAGAGCTTTTATTCTTTTATATTGTAAATCTTTGACTAAATAGTCCAGCCGTCCCATACAATCGTCTATTCAGATGCGAAAAGACAGGAGAGATGAACAAGGAATAGCGTAGAAGGCTTGAGTGGCCCTCTCGTCAGTCATACATTGTTACACGAGTGCGATAGTGTCAATTGAACTTGTTTGTAGAGTTAGAACGTGTTGCTTTTTAAATTACAATTTGTGTTCAAAGAACGACCGATTTACTCATGAGTAATCCCCATCAGATTTCTTAAACACTTGCATTAAAGACCACAACGGTGTACTCCACGAAACTTAAATCCATGAATAAAATGCCTTTTTTCTCATAAATTTTTGGATTCCGTCAGGAGTGAGCGTAGTCGGGGGAAAGGATTACTTTACTTTCGAAATATTCCGACATATATACCGTATTGTAAAGCAAGCACACCTGACTGTCACTCAGTATACGAGTTTTCGAACAGGTCAAGAACGATTTCTTCACCAAAGAGTGCATGAAACTGAGAATTCATGAACAATCGAATGCGTAAATGACGTAAAGAGATGTTAATCAATAAACCGAGATAAAACGAATCTCTTAAATAAGTGATTCGTGAGAGATCAAGTCTATTTTGCCCAGCATATCAGCCACGTACGAACCAACCAGCTCAGCCAAATTATCCATCGAATTATAGTACTGATAAAAAGGCGTGCTGACCAAATCGGCAAATGTCGGTCGGTTGCTTAGATCTTTCGTCAAACTGGAACCACGCTGGTGAACTAGCTTCGCAACAACAGCTAACAGTAATTAGCAGACACCTGCGGTCCGGAGTTTTGCAAATATCTCAGCATCATTGAAGTAATTAAATACTTTGTGAAAACAGCGAGTAATAAAATCTTACCAGTGATTAATGAAATTCTTTGTCCGCGTAGAGTACAGTGGATTAGAGACCATTGGTGCATCACCATGAACAACGAGATCTAGTTGAGCGAATAATGGCATGGAACTGAACCCAGGATAGGGAAATGCAAAATTCGCAACTTCGACCTGTTGTAATCGTACAGATCACTAATCATTTACAGTCATTCCCAATGAACTCAAGAAACATAAGTACCATTGAAATTCCCAGAGACCACACGTCAGATCTAATATCGTAGCCTTTCGAAAAGGCAATGAGGCGCTCGGGCTGAAACTTCACTAAATGTGAGTGGTTTGCCTGTCAAGAATGAAGCAAATACAAAGTTCTACAATTTGTTCTTCCATACACAGTCATTTATTCAACTTTTGAGTACATTACACATGAAGGATAAAAAGATAACGTGTTTGAGGCTGAATCAATCCCTAAGGGATGCGTTATGCAATCCTTAGGCAGTAGGCATCGATAGAGGTGATTGAATGCATATGTGGCTTTCAAAATAACTTTCGCTGCCCTATCTGTGTATCAAGTTAGTGCTGCTATCCTACCAGACAAGTCTGGTAGCAATTTCCTGAACCTGGAGGGATGGAAAGTTTGGTGAACCCGGAGAGCTGGGTCGAACCAATGACTATGCATGCACGGCAAGGCATCTTTAACCACTATGCTACACAGGTCATTATATACCTGCATATATACACGCATATATACATCATATATACATATATATATATATATTTACGTAAAGACCACGGATCTCCCTCATAAAGAGATCTAATTGCTGTAATACAAGGAGTTTCTTTTTGGTTAATACAATTGATGTTTTAGGAGCTAAGGGAGTACATTCCCACGTTTCGTTTCGAGAAACGCCTGTCAAGAATCGGTGCCTTCAACTTTCCAGCTACAGCGCGAGAGTTTGATTAATTCATTGAAAACTACCTGCAGTATTTCACTGATGAGACATTTCATTTCAACTCAAGGGTACTTCACTTTTACATCATAAGCACAAAGTCTGTTGTCTGTCTCAATCTTTTGGTCTACCATGGATCCACATCGCTACATTTAAAGATGTGTTGCTATGTCGTGTAGCAGTCACCCAAATGCATCACATGCAGTACAAGCGGTGGGATTCTGCCTAAGACTGAAGTAGTGGCTTTACGGACTTTTGTAGAAAACAAACTGTGGTCCACATTTTCCAACAGTAATGTTATGGAGAAGTGATAAAGTGATAAGTGATAAAAGTGAACTAATAATAGTACCGATTATTAGTCCACCACCTCCCAACCGTTTACCGTATCATCGTAGCTGGAAAGCTTCCTGGGTGTCGGGCTGCAATGTACAGCAGGGAGATTCGTCCCCTCGCAGGGTCTCCCAAGCTGAGAAGCAGTCCGGCGTTTCCTTCAGGGAGCCTAGCTAAGAGTGAAACCTAAGGCAGACTTTGGCTAGGCTGAGCTCGGGACTCCAGGAAACCACAACAGCTAAGCCAGCAAAACTCAGACGAGTAGGACCTGCACAACCACAACAAGCTACTTTGGACCTACACAACCAGTGAAGACGAGCCATCCAAGTATACAAGTGTCCAAGTAATAGTCCACCAACGTTTTGCATTAAGGGACCTCCTACCAGTTAGTTGCTAGACAATTGTTGCGCGTCCCCAGGTGAGAGATAGAGGAATAATCGAGAACGAAAAGCGACACTATGCTTCCCTGAGGCGCATGTGGAACCAGGAGATGGACTCCTTGTTTCCGTTACCCCAAAATGACAAATACCTTCTGTGTTTACGAAGGCATATTCATGCATGCGTGCACTGGTGTGCTCTATTTGTGCGGATTGTATTCTATGAGTCGATTCCGCCAAAATCCTGCAATCAAGTGACTGGGAAATAGTGACATGAGGGGCAGTTAGGAGTCGCCCTGAACAAATAAGTTCCCGTGTGTGACCTGGGAAAAGTGGAAAGCCACATGCGAGTACACAGACTCTATCTTCAGACCAGAGCAAGCAATATGTAGCCATGAAATGTTAAAAAACTAAAATAAGCGGACCATCGTTTGACTACGAAAGAGCCCCCGATACGGCAACGTTGGGTAGCAGGGATATGGAAAGGCTGTTAAAATATCACAGCATATCTAGAATGCCTAAATTTCGAAGGACTAAAGCGACGATTCGTACCTACAGCCTTCGCCCACTTGTATCTAAATTACTTAATCATACTGATAAGAGGGGTGACGTACATCGTCAATGGGAAAAGAAACCGCCCATTCAACGCCGTCTATGACACCGGAGAAGAACTGTTCCTCGGAACATGCGACAGTAGAGAAGTCGACGGGTGTCGTCGTTTTCGTCAACATGAGTTTGTCCATGAACATCGATTTATTTGAACAACAACCCGAATCAGACGATCACAACTAAAGAGATGTGGATCAATAAAAGTTTAAACAATCTTCGTCGTTTACACGTCGACATGTAACTATGACGAAGACGAAGACGAAGCGTTATGTATGGACTCGGAGAAGTCTCACAGAAAAGACCACGCACTTTTTAAGGTCATCACCGCAGATTTTGACGTTAAGGTTGGACCCAGAAAAACGATTGAAGAATGTCCCTTCGAAACACACGGATTATAATGGAACGAGCAGGATAAGCGAGTGTCTGAGATGATCATGACGACCAAGGCCAATCAGGGTAACTCGAAAATCCAAAAGCCCAATCACAACGCTAAACGTGGGGATGTAAACAGTACCACAACGACATAGACAACAACATATTAAAATGAAGGTTTTCCCTAACCGATGTCGCAGCTACTCCAAAATTCTACCATCGCCTACTTCGTGCAAGATTTCATTTCACGCGCAAAGAAGAAAAAGCAGCGAACCTCAAAAAACGAGGTCGCAAAACCACATAAAGGATAAAGCTCTCTATGTTGATCAATCCCTGATGTATGCGCCATGCATTCGACTTCGTCTCATCGTTGGAGGTGATTGAATGCATAACTAGAATTTGCAATAACTCGCGGTGGTGCACCGATATATCGTGCCACTGCCTCTATCCTCCTAGACAAGGCTGGCACCAATTTGTCGACCCAGAAGGGATGAAGGGCATGATGGGCCAGAGGCGTGGGGACCGATCCCATGTGTATTACAGGGCGTCTCCGACCACAGGCCTACACGCACCCCTAAAACCACCATAAAATGGGAGTTATTCGGTTCATGAGCTGGCTGTTGGAAAGATGCGGTTCGAGATAACATCTGCGAAAAATATGATCAAATCATTCAACATCTTCACGTTAGCACTATGAAATCTGAGAGTTCGAAAGTCACCAAGAGACGTCTGTCTCCAGAAACACCCGAGTTGGTACGTCAGCGTGGAATCGCACGAGCTGCAGAGATTGTACTACTTATTAGATGTTTCTATGGTATTAAGGGTGACCTCCACGATACCAGCAACTATTACCCAATCTGCTTGGTGTCTGTCGTGTATAAACTTTCCACTTGAATCATCTAAAAACGATTGAGAGAACATTGGAGGAAGGATAGCTACCTCTACAAGCAGGCTTCAGAGAACGATTCAGTACGATGGACCACATCCACAAGATAGCAAGACTCAGTGAAGCATCACGAGAGTAGAAGAGACCGCTCTGTCTCACTTTCATCGATTTAAAGAACGCTTTTGATTCAGTTGGGATAGAAGCATTGATTGAACACTGTTCAAAGAACACCCAATTCCGTACCCACCTTTTCGACTCAACGATTCATCATACCTTGACGTACGCACCAGAAACATGGTCGTAAGTAGGGTAACAGATCACTCAGTGTTAGAGGACGCAGAGTAGAAAGGACGATACTGGGAGCATCCCGTATCACACAAGTGAGAGAAGAGATCTGAAGCTCCGATCTATGTCAACCATCAAAAATCACAGATGCTGTTCTGTGTGACAAACAGCAGAAGATATGGTGGGCCAGACATGTAATGCATATGAACGACAACCGATGGACAAGAGCAGTTAGTGACTGAATTCCTCGGGATGTTCAACGGACTGCAGAAGGTCCACCGATCCGATGGTTAAAGTTCTTCGCTAAAAGCCTAGAAGATAGATACGACGCTCAATCTCTAGAGGGAGCAGAACATGCTAGGCTATGCTTGCACGCGACAATTAGAAATGGAAGATTTCCTGACGCCCGCTCGAGTCACTCAACGATCAACAGGACAACAGGTGCCACAAGTGATAAAGATGATTTACGCAAGGGATTTCACAATTGGTTGTCCACAAACGATTTATTTATTTAGAGCATAGTCTGAAGCAAATGCAGTAAATAAGCTAATTAATGCAGTTATTACTGAAACTTTATGTTAAGTCAAACATACAGCCATATATGGGCGACATCCAGCATCTTGAGTTTGAGCAACGGAATCCTGAAGATATCCACAGATTCCAAAATCGCATAATTTCACTTCACCTTTCTCATTTAACAAGATATTTGAAGGCTTCACGTCTAGACATCACAAATATCAATAGGAGCATGAAGAACGAAATTGAATACCAGTTACCTCTGTGAATAATGTGATACTGACTTTTCATATGGTTCAATGCAATGATCGTCTAAAAATATTGAAGTTTAAAAACTGCATAAAGCTCGTTGGAAAAAAAGACTGTGTTAAATGACCCTCACACTAATTGCAACGCTACCAAGCGTATTTTCATCAAAAGCAGGATAACCTAATTGGTGTACGGCGATGTAGAGCCCCTCCAATGAGATGTCCATGAGTTCCATGCAAACCAAAGCATCGCCCTGTTAAAAATCTTTTAGAAAATCGTCCAAACTTTAATAATCAGCATACTATTCAGAAGCAATACCAGAAGTAGAAGAGAGGTTCCAAACCATAGAAGTATGGAGTAAAAATTAAGACACTCAAAAAGATGTCAAGAAGCTTGGTGATTTCACAAGCAGTTTCCATACGGTTCGTCACATGGCAATGTCGTAACATCTGTTTCCCACTATCTCATTGGGTACGTCGTACTGGTGAATTTAATTAAAACTAAGATCTTCAATGATGCTGAGATATTTGCAAAACTCCGAACCGGAAGTGTATGAGGTGGGGAACGAACGCGCTATTGTCCTTTCCGGGAGTAACGCGTTCATCACCACACCATGCGGGTCTTTCTTTTCGCCTGTCTCTCAGCTAGTTCTATCGATCTTTGCCACAGTAATCACCCGTCAGTGGGATTGACCTGGTGGCTCAAATCGGCAACGAACCCAGTTAAGCTGAGGCTGTAGTTATAATCACAATTTCAATTTATTATTTACCAGGATATATTGCGAAATATAACTTCAATGAAACTGAGGTATTTGCAAATCCCGCTGACGGGTGAATGCTGTGGCAAAGATCGATAGAACTAGCTGAGAGACAAGCGAAACGAGGGACCCGTATAGTTTGGTGGTGAACGCGTTATTCTCCGGAAAGGACAATAGCGTGTTCGTTCCCCACCGCATACACCTCCGGTTCGGAGTTTTGCAAATATCTCAGCATCATTGGAGTTATATTTCGATCTTGCCATTAAAAAAGAGTAGGCAGTAAATAACAAGTTGAAATTGTGATTAAAACTCACATCATTATTTACAGGGAGCAACCACATTTCAAATAAATAGCTTTAAAGATGAGTGGACTAAACAGCCCTGAGCACCGAACTCTTTGAATGAGAAAGAAGGCACCAAAGTGTCCAAACAGAATGAAAGTCGACTATGTGGAAGGAAAAAAAACGCATCTTTTGAAGAGATAAGTCACTATTGTAAAGAAAAATTGCCATCGATTCTACTCATTTCTGGCTAAAATGGGAGCGTTCCAGTAGGCCAAGACGTTCGATACCGATCAGCTAGAAATTCCATTTAGGACATGGATGTATGTCGTGGAAAGTCTTTCATAGCCTTGCTATTCCTACCACGGCTAGCTCGGATGGCAAATTTTCGTCGCTAGTTCTCAAAGCTAGTATTATACGACATAACGTTATAGATGTGGAAAACTTGTTTGTTCGACAGAATCGACAAGTGAAGAAGGATCTCAAAACGCAACTACATCTAGACAACAAAATTTTTCTCTAAATATGTCTGAACAGTACTGGTGTTTTTTTAATTGTAAAAAAGTATGGAATGGAAGAAAAGCAATTTAAACAAAACCAAATTACCACGAACCTCATGGAATGTTATTCCGTAGAACTGAACGATCTCCTTGCAATTACTGGCGGATTTTATGGCATCCACTTCGAGTTTTAGACGCTTCATCGATCGATAATTGGCTGAATCGTCATATCCCGAACTTATAATCCGCACACGCTAAATATTTTCTTATATATATATATACGAACAAATATTTTTTCTTCGAATTTGTCGGAAACGTCTCGAGAGTTTTGCTCGTCGAGTGCGGACAAACAGTACAATCGTAGGTGTGGTCGTAGCCGGGATGTAGGCGGTCAGGAACCAGATAGATGTTGCAGGCATGAGTGAGCCTAGGTTCACCGACTACAACCGATCACTCTAGAATTTCACTTTTCAGACATCTACTTATACCTGTTCACTTCGTTGGAAATAAAGCGCATGTTATACCTTACACGATTAGCGCTGAAGCTAACCTTTTGGCATGACTTAGCTGCAAAGGTATTCCTAAATGCTATTGCGTTTCGAAGACATCCAAGATGGCTGTTTACCGACCAGACTGGTTCCCCCTTCTGCTCTCTTCCTGTTTCGTAACTGCTTTAAACGTGTTTCTCACCAGCGCTGTTTTTGTGTGTAAAAGATGAGAAAAGAGGCGATGCATCAGTGCTTCTTCTTGGTTGGTTTCCGGTGCTACTTTGCGATGCAGTCATTTTCTAGACAGTATGTTAAACGCTTGACTCATAGCCTGCAGCAAGCAATTTCTTCAATCCAGCTGATACGAAAATAATGGCTGTCTCCAAGCACAACCCAACATATCTGGCAATGAACTTTATCAAATAGAATAGGCATCATTAGAATCTACACACCTTTTCCGACAAGGTGCAGATTTTCTACTTTTATCTCGGCGGAATTCCTATTCCCTGAAACTCACAGAACGTTTTCTTATTTTTGTCTTTTGTCATGAGTCGTCGTTTGAACGACGCAAACGAAATTTCGTCTAGCTGGACTCAGTAGTACTCCTCATCGCCGCTGGGGATTGTGACTGGCTCAAATGCGTTGAACGCTTTGAGAATTTAACTTTCGCTCTCAACCTTTTAAAAATTTTAATTCTGGAACTGGTAAAACATATTATAACACTGCCTTGCCTCAAATCTGCAGAGCAAGGTTTCTTTTCTACGTCTGTGGAGTCCTCAATTCTCAAATGCTCAATGATTGAATTCTTATTCTGTCGTCGAAATATCGGGTGTTATGTGTTAAAAATAGAGGTCAACTATCTTTACGTTCAATGATGCTGAGATATTTTCAAAACTCCGGAATGCAGGTGTCTGCGGTGGGGAACGAACGCGTCATTGTCCTTTCCGAGGAGTAACGCCACGCCGCGCGGGTCCTTCGTTTCGCTTGTCTCTCAGCTAGTTCTATCGATCTCTGCCATCAGCAATCACCCGTCAGAGGGATTGATCTGGGGAGTCAATCTGGGTCAGACACATACGGTCCGGAGTTTTGCAAATATATCAGCATCATTGAAGTTATATTTCGCAATATACCCTGCCATTAAGAAGAGTAGGCAGTAAATAAAACTGTTAAGACCGTGATGATAACTAAAGCCTCAGCTTAACTGGGTTCATTGCCGATTTGGGTTTCATTTCCGATGAATTTGGACATCATTGAAGTTATGTTTACCTTCGTCTCTCTAACGCTTTCCATATTCCGACTGCCTATTGTAAAACCATGTGCGCATCTCCTTCCAGTGCAGAGTAGGTAAAGGAACAGTCACCGATTTGTAGACAACAGGAATACCATCCAAAAAAGAGACTAGAAGCTTTTAATCGAGACATGAACACGATCGCAGGATTCGCCGAGAATCGCGTGTTCTTTTGGCAGTCTTCTAGAATGTGCGTGATGTTTCACAGACCACCTAAAGACTGAACAGTGACTCTTTGAAGGAGTCACACATGCTTAATTTCTCTTCATATTTGATGAGAAGTTCGAAAATGGCATCCGTTATGTATTCATTCAATGCGATTGTGCATGCATATCTCCATATCAAATGAACGGCGTCAAACTGCTGTGAAAAAGGAGAGACTGAAACGATATACAGCCAGATATTTGCATAATAACACTCGGGCTTGAGTCGTACGGCTGATTTTCGGGAAAAATGGAGAAGTCCTTCTGGACTATAGCACTCCAGAGGTCACACAGATCAAGCATGCCTTCAGCCTTCAATTGTTTATAGCAGTGTACTGCTTGCGTCAGAAGAAGAAGTTTAACAACTGCCACAACCTCAAAAATGCCTATGCTCACATCTTGAAGACACAAGATCCGTGCTTCTGGGAGGAAGTGTTCCAGTGCCCACATAAACGCAATATGTTTTCCTTGATAATGATGGACAGCAGATTGTAGAATAGAGATGAAGTCTAAACAAATGCAATAAAACATGAAAACGTGGTAGAAATCGACGAGAGCTTACAACAAAATCAAAACGTCAAATAGGTGCATAGGAGCACAGTCTCGGTTGTCGATTTCCTTTGAAAATGATGTTTAAGACAAAGTCGATGCAGTTGAGTCAAAGCATACAACAATTTTCCACTTCGTTCTAGCGAGGAATTTTCTACGAAATAACTGAACCCAATGTCATGGATGTCTCCCAACGGTTTACCGCCTCGTCTTTGCTGGAAGGTGTTCCTGGGTATAAGGCTGCGATATACAGCGGGGGCACCACCACCGGCAAGATCTCCCAAGATATGAAGAAGTCCGGCGTTTCAGCAGGAAGTCTAGCTAAGAGCAAACCAATATCACGATCCACGAACGTTCTGGTATCAAGCTTGTCTCATGGTGGCAAATCTCCCTCTGATCCACAAACGCGGCGGCTGCTTGTAGTGGTGACGACCTGAGGCAGACTCTGGCTAGACCGACCTTGGCACTACAGCGAACCACCACCACCAACAAAACTCCGAAAGAATGGAAATTATGCTGGAACCCGCTCAACCACTGAAAACAGAGTATCCATGAATCCAAGTAAGTAATGTCATGAATGACTCTATTAACTCTTACAAGCACGGAACTCACGACTATTTTCAGTGGAAATGAGTAGGATATAATTCCTCTTACCAACTTCCTTGCATACCTGGAAATTACTATTTTCCTGTCTACGTTAAGAGAAGCACCACAATGGTTCAACACCTCATCGAGGCCTAGCAGTAGTCCTTACTGTCGAACGACGATGAACAACGTCAAGCTAGTTCCCCTAGCCATTTCTCAAACCAAAAACTAATTCAGCATTTTCATGCAGAAGTTTAACCAAAAACAAAACAGTGTCAGCTATCATGGTAGTAAACTAGCCGCAAAAACAGATCTACTTCTAATGCACAACGCCCCAAGTATGCTACGTCGAGGCTTACGGTGACATAAACCGATCAATCAGCAATAAACTGACCTCAGTACTGCTCAAATTTGGAGCGCTCTCCTATGAAATGGGGCGGTGAAAGCCTTTCAAGTTTCAGGTTTCACAGGACGTCATTGAAATCGAGTTAGAACGCGCCATTGAGACTGGGTTATGCTCTGAACCCATGCCACCGGTAAAGCCTCGTTAGACGTAGATCTTCACTCTCTCTTTGGACGGAGGATGAATGACCCGTCGTAAAATGCTTAAGCTTTTCCTCAACCAATACTTCACCCATTTCGACGTCTCATCCTCTTTCTAGACTCTCTCATCACAATTGGGCATTTTTCGGCTATCTTCTTTGTCAAAAGAACACTGGATGGGTTCTACATTCAACTATAGAAAGTAGTCCGCAACGAAAAAACTCTATAAATTCGTTGTTGGAAACACCAATGTCAAGTTTAGAAAAACCAGCGAAAACCAATAATGTAACGCGAAATTTCGAGTAAAGGGTCAAAATAGCATTGGAAATCTTGCGGAAACCTAACCACAACTCGACTGTTCTAAAGAAGTTCAGCTTTCTAGAAGAGAAAAATGACTGTTAAATATTGAAGTCGCCTAAAGACACGACTGATGCCGAGATCAACCACATTTTCACGAACAAAAGATGATTTTCCGTAGATACCTCCATAGCATACTCATTCTATACTAAATCTGACGATCGCCAAGCTGCTTGTGGAGGAATTTAAAACTTTTCATTACATTTCCATCACCAATAAGTGGTGCTCGAAAAGAAGACTGGTGATACTTAGTGATATTGCAACATACCTAAAACAGTCGATAACAGATGTCACCTGCAGAAAATCCTTACAGAAACACTTACATTGGTACATACAGAAGAAACTGTTGCAAGTAACTCAAGAAAAAAAACCAGTTCGAACGAACCTCATCGGTACGGATAGGAACGCAGTGTTCCGGCATAGACGGACGAAAATTGAACTACTACCACATTTTATCGTCATGATATGGATATAGGAGAAGCTCTACACCAATGTTTGCCATTCCAAAAATACTCGTTCAAGACCATAATATCCCTGCTAAAGAGGAACCTCTCCAGACTCTTCGCTCTGAAGTGCGGGTTGCTATAGAAAGCATCAAAAGAGGCACAGCTCCAGGATCATACAATATCACAGTACAGCCGATTCCATTTTAAATGGGAGCCACAAGATAAATGTGCTTCCCATAACCATAATGCTTCCCATAACATGTCGTTCAGCTTTCAGAAGGAAGAGATTCCACATCAGATGAGGACCGCAAGAAAATTCACCCTTACAAAAAAGGGCGACCAAAGAGATTTTAGTAACTGTCGTCTGGTCTGCATATTGAATATACTTTGCATGAAGCATTTTGCGAAGAATGCCCAGTCAAGCATATCAGTAACTTTGGATACTTTGGATGAGAAGCAACCAGCCGATCAAGAAGATTTCGTCAGAGATTCTGATGCACGGACCAACTGAAATCATCATATCAATCATGCTCATATACGCAAGTCGATATGAAGAACCTAACGAATTGGTTATTAGAAGAGGAACAAAATCACAACCTGCGTTCTGAGTTCGTGAAGATGCTAGCGACTAAGTAGTGGAATCAAGACTCGGCACTCACCTTTTCTATTCAACGCTTCAGCCAGCATTCTGTTATACGTTGAGAGTTAAAGATGTGGAACGCTCAATGTACCACTCACACTGCACTAGAACGATGTCTTCTAAAATATAATAACAACAATAAAATATATGGAACAGGAGACGATAGAAGAACGAGAAGAGACGAGGATCGGACTCTAAGATGATGTATGCGTCCACTAGGACCACTACCTACAAGATGGGGAGACGTATTTGTGGCCTTGTCAAATAATTGAATTCGTTGCTCCATACGATTTGTAGTCTGTAGAATGGGGGTCGCTGACGTCACCGTGCCTGAAGCAATTGACCTCCATGGAGGACGATGGCACAGAAAATAAACGAATGGATGGTATGTGCGTACAAGAAAACGTTGGTGAGCATAAGAATTTCATAACATAAAGTACTGAAGTCATCTCATATTGGAACGACCTATATCTACCTCAACTCCATCACACATAGCGAGGAAACGTTCCTCCACTTTAAACACAACGAAGGCGTTACACTTTACTAAGTGCAGTCTAATAATCACATATTACATTACTGAAACTATTCTTAGTAGCAACTATAATATTTAGCCTTCCGTTGTCGAACAATTGCAGTATTGCCAAAGAGATCGCCCTGCTTGTTCACATACATGGACACTTGGTGAAAACAAGATAAACAAGATAGCAGTGATTCCTACCAATATTACCCTTAGACGGGGATTCCAATGATTGAAGTCCTCACCCACTTACCATGAGCAAGGATATGAAACCATACAGTTCACCGCAATTCGACACCCAGAAACGCCGGAGCCACGACAAAGCAGTGAACATATTGATAAAGGGTAGAAAGCAAAGGATAAAGCTCTCGGCATTGATCTATCCCTAAAGGATGCGCCGTGCATTCGACTTCATTAAGCATCGTTCGAAGGTGATTGAATGGAAATCTGGCCTTTACAATCACTCGCGGTGGCCTACTGTAGAGAGCGCCTCCGACCACTGCGCCACACGCACCCTAATAATGGCAAAACCAGAAAAACTCTGAAAAAGTGTAAATTATGCCGGGGCCTGCACAACCAGTAAAGACGGGTCATCCAAGTACCCAAGTAAATAAGATGTAATAATGAGTCATGTAATAAATTCAGGAAAAACGAATATAGACCATTTCATGTGTTATTCAAATTTTGTGTCATACTAGAAGTAACAGCTAGTCAAAATAGGAAGGGTTATAAAAGGAATTTAATAGTTGATGGCTTTTAGTTAGCTACTTAGTACTTGGTACTTGATGTTTGAACGGCACGACCTCACTGGTTGTGCGGACTCCAGCACAATCTCCATTCTTCGGAGATTTGCTGGCTAAGCCATTGTGGTTCCTTGGAAACCCGAGGTCAACCTGGCCAGAGTCTACTCCAGGTCTTTACCACCACAGGCAGTCATAGCGGTTGTGCATCAGAGGGAGATTTGCTAACATGCGACTTTGAGATATCGGGACGGTGGTGGATCCTGGTTACTCTTACCTAGGCTTCCTGATGGAAACGCCAGACTCCATTCCAGCTTGGGAGACACTGCCATGGTGATGAATCCCCGCTGTACATTGAAAACCGACACCTAGGAACACCTCCCAGCCACGACCAGGCGATAAACCGTTGGGGGTACTTACCTAATAATTTTAAAAAAATTTTTTTCATATCAATACCACAATAGAGCAAAGTCCCTTCTATAATCCCGTTACGTTCACAACCCTTAAGATTTCTGGTTATTGAAAAAATGCTGTTAATTGTCAAAAAACTAGGAATTGAATAACAGCTGAAATTAGCGTCGTGCTATGCGGTATAAGCCAAAATTAGGCATTCCAATGTTTTAAAATGCACAAGGCAGAATATTCTTTAAATTTATATCTAATGTAAGAAGTGGTCTTGTTCCATAAAGCCTATATATAAAATACTTCGTTAGGGACAATTTAAAAAAGGGAAAAAAGTAGTATACTAGAAGAACGTTGACTTCTGCAACACTAGCACTTTTGTTACTAATATATTAACGTACTTTTACGGCCATCTCCGTCCTGGTCATAATATGTCGCATCTTTGCCACTGTTCCGAAGCTCCCATGTCCAAGTGACCCCAGTTCTTCGAGATCATTGAAGTCAAACAAATATTCTTGGGTGTCCGGTGGAAACACTAGTTTCCCAGCAAGAAAAGTGCGAATGTAGTTCCTAAATAAGATTAACATAAGATATTAATAAAATACGTACTATAGCAAACGAAGGAGAAGGACAATATGAAATCATCGGAAATCTGTGCTGTAATCCATACAAAGTTGGAACCTCGTTACCTAAAGTCACGTATAAATCGATTAACTCGAACGAATCCTTGGTTATGAAATCATCTGCCCATAGAACAGCACAAACACACAAGCAGAACTTGGGAGTTAAGACTTGCAACCTCAACTACGTCTTCTATGGTTAGAAATAGTTTTCCCACCTGAGTGTTTGTATAGAACCCATTCACTTGTACTTTTATTACTAGGCTTGTACTTTTGTTCCGCATAACAAGTGTAAAATCTGGAACAAGCACATCAAAAGAAAAACTGCATCCTTCGCTATCCTTCAGATCAATTACTTATTCCGGTTAGTTTTCCTGGCATTCAGTTCAGAAGTAGAAGTGAGCCGAATGTGTCACAATATTCGCCAATATTTGACAACTTTCCTAATAATTAAAGCCAAGGAACGTCCACCAACCGACCGATCCACAGTTTCATTAGTAGCACAGATCGATTTCACAATGATATTTCCCGAAGCAGTTCTACACTCCAACCCACAGGTGACTGCACTACACCACAGTGCAACTAAACTCATTTCATAAACGAAGTAACTATATCGATAAGCATTTTTCGGGTTAGCTTAATAATCCAAGAAGATACAGATTACTAATGCCGAGGTTAAATGATGGCCGGCGCGAGAAATACTGACTCGCCATGAGGTAGCTAATACAATACCGACTGGTGCAGCGTGCATTGCTCGAAACCATTTGAGCTCCACCGGATTCGCCTCGATGCGACAATGAACAACCATATCGTGATAACAACCTTCTGTGGATCGTCGACTCGGATCAATCCGGCTCTAAGGAAGACGACGACGTCGAAACGTTAGCCGCGTAAAGATCTTGTTCAACTCAGTATTAGTTTGATTATTCAAGAGGGTACTCTCCAAAAAAGTTAGAAATTGGATGTGTTTATTGACAGGTTGTTTTCTTTAGCATTAAATAATACATAAAGTTTGACAGAGCACAATTCTTTTTCCCACAGTGATGTTGTGCTCAACTCTGAAAAGTCCGTTGCGGAAAGTCGCAATTCAGTGGTCCTTCTAAATGTAGGAAAACCGAAAGAAATGAGGCTTACATTTGTCCAATGATCTTGTTCTCCATTGATTCATCGATAATTAAGTCATTATGTGTCTCGAGATCGAAGTTATTCGAATCTTTTTCCAGTGGCCGAATCGGTAGTGCCCTCCGGCGGCTCATTCTGTCGTGTCAGATGTGGCAGTATTGTCTGCCACGACAGAAATGACGATCAGCAATCCAACTTAACAAATAGGATGAAAATCGTCGTAAACACCGATTCGGTCTACTACAACTCATCCAATATCTTCTCCCACACATTTCAAAATTAAGGAAGAAAGATGGAACAAATTCCGTCGTAGTGTCAGAACAGAAAATGTTCGCCAAAGAATTTAATCAAACCGGAATCATAAAACTGGACCTTAGTTGTTCGCACAAATTTCGATTTGGAAACAAGCACAATGTTTCAGGTTGCATGCACATCAAAGTGGTAGAGAGTATCAGTGACAATTATGACTACTTTGAGGAGAAAAAAGAAAGAGAAACGTTATATTGTGAGCTGAGCAGTGAACCCTGACTTTGCGGAAAACCATTCAAGATAATGTAGAATAAACACGATCGAGCAAACATCTAAAGAAACGGCAGGAGAGGAATTTTCTGCAGATTTCACTGAGAAAATTCAGCAGTGAATGTGAAAGCAAGCAAAAAAATTCATACTCGCCCATGACTTACAACTTTTACTAAATGATAGCGTCAAAGAAACATGCTTCAAAAATGGAGGTTTTCAAAGATGCCTTCAAGTAAACACAATCGCAAGTTAACTATTCATAGAAGTAGTTCCGGCAAATCAGAAAGATCTTCGGAGAACAGATCGGTAAACCTGCTGCTCTGTCTTCTGATGGAAGAATATTCTTCTGACGACTCTACATCGACTACTAGCTCCGTTGGAATAGACTTTTCTTCTTCCTTAGGAGTACCTATAGTTCCTTGTAACTTCTCCACGGTTTCAGCTTGATCGTTTCCAGCGGGAAATACCAAACTTCTGCTGTTTAAGACTGGAACTTGAACGGCATCCTGTGTAGTGTTACCAGTGCTTTCAAGCGCTTGTTCTAACACTGATCGACATTCCATCGTCATCAAATGGTCGGCATCCAGAGAGAATTCCTTAACTTTCTTAATTAATAGCAATAATTTTATGAGGAAAATTTTACCTGCACAGACCAGAATTTCGTGCGCTTCGTGTAAATACTTCACAGCTTCCTGATGACGGCTAAGAATGTTTAGGAAAATGCCAATATTCCTAAATATATTAATGGATGTCCAGAATTGCAATCAATAGAAGATATTGTCCACTTATGATTTAAATAAGATGTGTTGTTAACCTCAGATGAAATGCAAGTGCCGGATGATTATGTGGGAAGCAAAGTCGCACACAACCCTCGGCCCTTAGGTGCAGACAGAGCAGTCCTTCACTATTGTCAGGTGGAACGAGAGGAACGAGATTCTAAACAAGGAGCATGCTATCGTGGGAAGGTACACGAAGCAGTCAAAGTATTTTCTGATGCACCGAACTCCATTATTATGTAGGAATTAAAACTACTGATCAACGGTTTTTTTTTAAAGGCATTTTTGCTGATGTCTGCTTGGTTAAGCTTTTATTGATCGTTTTTGCTCCAATTTAATAGTTTAATTCATAATACTGGTGTTTCTAGAAGTCAAAATACGACGTACAACCTACTGGCTGCCGATAACATCAAAATGGTTGGCTACTCAAGGTGAAGAGTCTTTCATTTCCATCTAGAAGACTGAACAACAGCAAACTTATGCCACATCTAAACTCAGGGACCTAATCGTGGTTACTCACTGCAAAAACACTTCAGAGGACATTACACCAAAATTGTGGTAGCAAGGTGAGAGCCTAGGGTAATGCAGACAGAAAAAGGCGTAATCATAAGCGCGCTACGTGCGTTTGATGTTAGGACTGCCTTATAATTCACTATGACGTACCAAGGTGATGAAAGCTGTTTTCCATATCTTGTTAAAGAACGAAAAGTAAACTATTAAGTAGTGCTAGAAGAAACACAGGAGAAAATGGAGATAAACCAACAAAACTACGAATATCACCTGAATCACTTTGCATAGGTAGATGTTAGTGTCAGACAGTATCTTACTGAACCGCTCCAAGAGATCTTCCAAAAACTCTACACGACTCTTCTTAGGCATCTAAAAGAAACCTGTTCTTTAAAGTTTAGCCATTAAATTGCAGGTGAGTCCAGCCTACCTGTTCCAATTCCCTGTCCTCAATAATCTTATCAATAAACTGCATAGCACTCACGGCTTCCATTACATACTTCTGCAAACTCAGAAGTTAGCATGCGGCTTGATTCAAAGCCATGTTAGACATTCATTATTCGATAATTATGTGAATTACTAACCTCTGGAAGGTCAAAACGACATTTTTGGCACGTAAACGGTTTTGATTTGTTAATCTTATAGGGATGCTCAACAAATATATTCACTGCTTGTTGGCAATCAGACTACAAAAGTCGGTCCATGATGGTGCATGAAATGCCTTCTAAAATGATGTTGAAATATGGAATTTATAAAATCCACAAACCGGACAGTTCGGACAGCGGACACTAGTTAGTAAATTATCTGTTGGATCGGTACACCTTTCACAAAGACAGTCGAAATACCAAGTATCCTTGAGCTGCTTCTTCCTCTGTTGCAAGGAACTATAACTAGTAGTTGGTAAAACATAACAGGTGAACTCCATTGGGTACACCTCATTAGGACACAAAATATTACGGCCTTCCAAAATTAATGCTCGATTTCAACTTTCAACGAATTTTAAACTGGAATATGTCAGCTCATAATGAACTTTATTAATCCGAAGAAAAATCATTGCAACCTAGAGATTTTTGTCTACAAAACACAAAGTTACTTACCCCGATTTCATAAAAGTCTAGTCTTCCTGAACATTTCTCTTATGGAAAGCTGTTGAGATCTTACGGGAAGCCGTCGCAATATTTGAGGAAGTTCTAACTAGTAGGCGAGAGGTCTGGCGAGTATGACAGATTAGACAGAATTTCTTAGCCCCACTCGTTCAACTTCTGCGGCGACCGTTGCACATGCGGCCGCCCGTTATGGTGAAAAAGGATTGGTCCCTTCCTGCTGACCAATCCCGGATACAGCCGTTGAATTCTCTGGTGCATTTTGTCAAATTGCTGGACGTACTTCTCCGCCGTTATCGTTTAACAAGGATGCAAGATGTTACGGATCAAACCGCCTGTAGACCACGAAACAGTAAGCGTGACCATCACTCGGTGGAATCTTGGCTTCGAAAAATGCTATGGAACTCATCCGCAGCTCAGTTACTGTGCCGATCATCATCGGTTGCATAGGATCCATTTGTTATCGAAATTCGCAATATAGTTGACAAACGGGTCGTTTTGGTTCCTCAGAGGAAGCGCCGACGTTACCTCAAAAAGACTTTAATGGTCAATGAAGTCATATGGCAGCCACTGTCGATCTTCTTTGACCATGGAACTCGTTTAAATGTTCGGAAACAGTTATAAAGCCTATATCGAGTTCTTCTGTAAGTTCATGAACAGTTGTGGGTATATGTTCTCCCAATAAAGCATTCAATTAGTCTTCGTCAGTGGCAGAAGGACGTCCGTAACCTGCCTTAATTTCAACGTCGAATTATCAATTCCGGAACTTTTCAAGCCAGCATGGCACTGTGCTTTCTTTGACACTTCTCTGCTCCTATAGTTCGAAAATCTCTAAAGCCGGTTGCGTGGCGTATGCCTTATTTCGAATCTGTGAAACAAAATTTGGCGAAACTGATGTTTCGACATGAATATGAAAGTATAACCTTTGAAATATGTTAAGAAACAATTTGCATTGTAATCCAATTATAGATGTTACATCTTGAACTACTAAGGTGATAATGAGCACGAAAACAAGAAGCACGTGTATGCCAACATCAGAGAATTCAGGCATCCAAGTATTAACTTGAATTGCTTGCTAAGCCTAAGGAGACAAAGCCGCCTGTATATTCAAAGAACTTTCCTATCTTTTCAGAAAGCAAATCATTTCTATACTGCAAAGAAAAAGATTCTATATAATCTGTACCGCTTTGAAAGCAAAAACGTTATGTTATGATAACACATAGAGTGGAACTTACTCTAGCAATCCAATGTAGGTGTAAAATGTGCTAGTTCTGTCTCTGATATCTATATTTGAATTAAGGCCTCTTAGGGTTGCCACAAATCCATCGCAAGTATAGATGGCATTGGGTCTACAGGAGTGATCATATGCACATAAATCCAAGTACAGTCCTTTGCCAATCTCCTAAAATAACGTCTCCATAATAATAACAGAAGAATGAAAACTTATATAGTAAGCTATACACTGATATATGATAAAAGAAAATGAAAGTTGTTATATCTTCAAAGGTGCGCCTGTAGCGTATGGGCTAGAGGCACTTTGAAATACATATGAGATCGATCCCACGCACTAAGCTCACCAAGCCTTCTCTCTCTCCGGGGTGGGCAAATTGGTACCAAACTTATCTGGGAGGATAGCAGCATTGGCTCATACATCGGTAGGCCACTATAAGTCCTTGTATAGGCCAGTTATACATTCAATCAACTCTGACGATACTTAATGAAGTCGGATGCACGGCGCATCGTCCAGAGTTTGATCAACGTCGATAGCGTTATCCTTTCTATTCACACATTTTCAAAAAAATCTATTCGGCGATATCATACGATGTAAGTTTATTGTACTTGAGCTGGCATTTGCTCATTAAAAGAAGATTTATTCAATACTGGCGGATTTTTCGGAACTTTCGCCTTCTTCTGAATCTGGGAAGGTCAAATTAACACGCAATCTATTCATCTATTCAACCAAAGACTTTCATAAGGAAAGCAGCGAAAATTCAATCCCTAAATTTTACTCGCTTAGTACACAACTTCTTTCAAACGCTCACAACTTCGTTCCTTAAAGTCTTCCAGCTATTTGGTGGACACCACTAGCATAGGTGAACGGTGAGTGTTTGGATGAAATAGTTATGCGAATGAAAGCTTGTGCATTGACTTTCATCCGCTGAGGTCACAAAAAGGCTTGGATGAGTAAATTGCTTATTAGTTTGGTCTTTGCAGACTCTGAACAAGAAGCCGCCGAAGTGTCAGCTACTGTTCATTAATAATTGGTGCCAATAACAACCCCGTGTTTACTCATCAAAAAAGAAACTGAATTATTGGTCAATACCGAGGTTAGAAGAAAGTAGGTCGCGGGATTTGCCACTCAACGTTCTGTTCTTTGTAGGCTTCACAGTTATTTGGTGTAGACCAGTCGCACGGTTTATTTTATGGGCGACGGATGTGCCTTGCTCAGACCGAAAATTTAGGTATGGCGCGAGACTGTCCGTGATCACACGGCACTCGCCCATGTTGTTAGTGATTTACTGAGTGGGATTAACTGAACAACTCCGATATTGAGAGAAAGTGGATCCTGGTAAACATACCTTTTTCTTGAATTTACTTTGTTATAAACTAAAGTAGAACCCTGGACCGCAGGTGTATGCGGTGGGGAACGAACGTGCGCTATTTTCCTTACCGGGGAGTAGCGCACTTCACCACCACACCATCCGGGTCCTTCGTTTTTCCTGTCTCTCAGCTAGTTCTATTGATCTTTTGCCATCAGCAATCACCCGTTAACGGGATTGATCTGAGGAGCCCAAATCGGCATTGAACCCAGTTAAGCAGAGGCTTAGTTATAATCACAATCTCAACCATTTTATTTACTGTCTTCTTCTTTTTAATGGCAGGGTATGTTGCGAAATATAACTCGTATATAATGCTGAGATTTTTGCAAAACTCCGGACCGCAGGCGTATGCAGTCCGGAGTTTTGCAAATATCTCAGCATTATATACGAGTTAAAGTAGAACCACTATTCTATTAAAGAGTGATCAATTCTGGATGATTGAGTGGAAACTGCAGTAGCATTCTAATAAACAATGTAAGAATCTAAAACCATTACAAGCTGGCTGTTCTTAACATCTATAGCTTATAACTGGAGCAATAAGTAAAGATTATTTTATAGATGGTTACGAAATGTTTTGTTCAGTGATGTGGGCTTGATCTAAAATATCGGAAGGTAGAACCCACGGCTCCTCCAAAGTCGATAACGTTGAAAAAAGAAGCATCGTAAAAGTAAATAAAAACCAGTTCATTAACTAGCGTACTTAACATCAAACTAAGCTTAATCCCCAAGTATAGAGTGCACTTTAAGTGAAGTACTTTTATTAGTTCACCGTTTCATAAGAAATGACTAGAAATGGGTGAGAGGGGCTAGGAGTTTTAATGACCTAGCAACCAAAAATACGAATTTATTTGTCTATCGCCAGCAAGTTTTATTTCTCTTACAGATCCTGGTTTTTGAAAGATTGACTATTGTTCACAAAATATTGGTTATTGGAAAAATAACATGCAATGGCAGATTTTGAAGTGCTAAAGCTCGTCAAAACGCACCAGTTATGTCAAATGCTAAACTCCTACATGCGATAAATTCCTCGGAGGTCTTTTTTACTAGCGGCTTGATTTTCAAACATTTTCTCATAAAATAAATACAGTGCTAAGTGATAAATGATGATAAAGTGGTAGTTAAACGCCAAAAAGTGCATTAAGGACGCCGGATGAGGGAAAGATTTGCAATTCAACCCCTTCAACCTCTGCTGTTCAGGTTGCGCAGCCTGTGATCAAGTACTATCGTTCAGGATCAGATCTACCTTACTTTATGCCATATTCTGTACGCAAAGGCCACAATTTTTTACGCACTTAATCAATTTTTGGTTCATTAGGATAAGGAAAATTGTAGTTCAATACGGTGCACACTACCAAACAATCACAACATCTTTGTTCTGAACAAAAGTCGGCTTTGGAATGTGTTGAAGGGTTTCGTTTTGGTCCTATTTAACAAGTCAATCGAAAAATGGACAGCTTTGCTGCGCAAAAGACCTCAGCATAGACGTTATGAAACAGCCATCACAGGTATTTGTACGTTATGCACTTTCAATAACTGTATCTGTCATTTATTGAACCAATACGCCTTCCCGATGCGTTTCAATAAATGCTCAACCGTTGATTAGTTAGCGAAGAGTTCCTCTGCAACTTTCCGAGTACTTTTTGCAGCACCATCTTCGATTCTCAACTTTGCATGATCCTCAGTGAAAGTATCTTTTTGACATGAAAATTCTAGAACCATCTGCACATTACGTGTTCACTGCAGAAGAGATTCCATGGCCTATTCTTTGACAAAATTTCGAGCTATGCCTAAGTTTGAACTTGTGCAGCAAAATGACGCGGTTTGCTTGTCTGGATAGCACAGCATCATTTAGACCACAATGAAATCATCGCAAACTGAGTGTTAAGAAAATCATCACAACTCGTTGTACAAAGATTGAATTTTAAAATGTTGCACAACAACAATGTAAGCAATGAATACTTGATGCAAAATATGCTTTTGAAACACATAAAGAAGTAATGGTTAAGCATGCTCCAGACCAAACAAGTCCTCCAAATTTAAAAAAAGTGATTCTAGACCTTTCCTGGCACTAAAAAAGCGTGCTCCCACCTACACTAGCCGATTGTTAATGTTGTAGATCTGGGAACGCTTAGGATGGCTACCCCATAATTCCGGAGAGAATCAGTCCAACCACAATTCTACGACACTCTTAAAGAAAAACAATTCGCGGGCAATAGTAGCCGAACTAAATGCAAACTCGAACACCTTCGTGGATGAGGGATGCGAGATTACGAACGAAATGAAGAAAGAGCCGGGATCCGCACAATATGTGAAGTCGCGTCGTATGAATATTTACTACACATTGTCATTGTGACTACATCTATTACCTGTTGTTTACCACCACATTTATTTATTATATGGTTCAACTTCACATTTGTCATTTTTGTGTTGCTATTATTACATTTATTATATGTTATTTACTACAATACTTATTTATTACATGACCCGACTCCAGATGTATCACACTGCGCGGAACCTAGCACTTCTTGCATTCGATTCGTTTCTTCGCATCCACCATGTAAGAAGATCGTCGAATTCTTTTACGTTTTGGATCCGCTGCTACTTGAGGATCTTCTGGTATACTTTAAGAATGTTGTTTAATATTGGTCGAGTCAAATGTTATTGAATTCCTGAAATAACCGTGCTAGGACGTTCCCACGTGGATCAGAAGGTGTAAGTTAGTCTCAGACAGGTCTGGTTTAAATTTCCAAGTCGTGGAACGGTGAGAGGCTTGGCGGGTCCGATTTAATTTTAATTTAAGTTCGAACTACTGGCTATGGGTAGATTGGGCCGTCCGAGAAAGGAAAGGGATAACTAACATTGCACTACACGTTGTGTCATAAAATGAGATAAGAACATGAAATAGAATAAAGAAAATTGCGAAACAGAACGAAATGAATAATGAAAAAATCCACTCAGACAAATTAATATTATCTTAAACAAAAGATCACGGCCCACGGAACTCCATCATTTGTGGGATCTCGAGCCGGTTACTTGCGAGGCTACGTGGCACGTCCCCAGGTGGTGGATGGGGGGTTAATCGCTAACCAAAAGCGACCTTTGCTTCCCTGAGACACAGGTGGATCCAGGGGATGGACTCCGTTTCTGCTGCGCCGATTTAGCACATACTTTCTGTATTTGCTAGGCGTATTTATGCGTGCGTGTGTGGGTGCGTTCTCGCTTATGCGGATTGCATTCTACGAGTCAATTCGGCCAAAAGCCTGCAATCAAGCGACAGGGAAGTATATAGGAGATGGTTAGGAGTCGCCTCCAACAAATAAGCTAAACTATGACGAAGAAGAAAGAAGTCCTGGTTCTCAGCTAAACGATTAACATTGTGGCTAATTGCCTGCGGACGGTGAGAGTAGCCGATGATTTTTTTTCTTCTGAGCTATCCGAAAAATCCTACATGACCATTTTGGCCCCCTTTTAACTCAGAAAACAACTGATCTTCCTTTGAAGCTACAGAGAAGAAAAGAGACCAAATCAAATTAATCAGATTGAAACACATCCGATTTTTTATAAGATCAAGGACAATCTCCATAAAACAAAAAGGTACTTTTCTCAGATGGTAGAAGGGATCAACTAAAAAATATTACGTAGGGAGAAAGAAAGCAAGGAAATCTTACTTAATGTGACTGTGGATATTATGAAAACATCGTACCTTCATGTAACCCTTGTCACTAATAGCATGTCTATTGATGTAGTCTCTGCAGTGCAGTTCGAATATAATTTCTCTAGGCAGCAAGAATTTCTTGTCATAGAACTGAAGCAAACTCTTATAAATTCCTAAAGAAAAGCGATTGAATCGAATCGATGCATTTACCAAAACATCCCCAAAAAATTTTATCAACCTTCAAATTTATTCATAGCATAGGCATCATTTGATATTTTGTCAGTATGTGACCACACTTCAAGAATTGTCCTTCCAGATGTACGATCTTTATAGAAATTTTCAGTGTTCTTATCCTTTCCAGAGCAGATTTCCTAAAAGAGACAAATCATATTTGTTAGGTCTTTTCCAGAATAACTTAAATTTGGTTCATCCCTTAGACAAACGTTGAATTGTGATTGATTAACACGGTGATTATATCGTACATCCTTCATGTAATGTTTGAAAAATGGAAAAAACGTGAAATCACTACAACTATCTCCAATCAATGTGAACATTAAAATGGAAAAAAAACCAAACAGAAATATAATAAATTGTGAAACTAACCAAAAATATAGATATAGGTAATTACACCAATACAACAGTAACAATTAATACCTACTTACCTGTACCATCCGTTAAATCAGCAATGCATGCCCTTCCCATTCGTCCAGTTTTTCACATCTCGATGTATACAGCAGCGTTATTGAACTTCAATCGTTAACATGCGAAAATCGGATTCACTGTTTGCTCAAAGGTCATTTTGAGCAATAACCCTCCTAACAGTTTCCTGCCTCATCGTAGCTGGGAGGTTTTCCTAGGTATCAGGCTGCGATGTACAGCAGAGGATTCATTCATCTCCCCAGCAAGGCCTCTCAACCTGAGAAGGAAGGCGTTTCCATTATAAAGATTAGCTAAGAGTAAACCAATACCAGGATCCACTACCGTCTTGGCATCAAAGTCACATGGTGGTAAATCTCCCTCTGATCCACAAGGGAAGAGACTGCCTGTAGTGGTGACGACCTAGAGTAGACTCTGGCGAGGCTGACCTCGGAATTCTAGGGAACCACAATGACTTAACCAGCAAAACTCCGAAGAGACGGAAATTATGCTGGGGCCCTCACAACAAGTGAGAACAGCCCATCCAAGCAAGCAACCAAGTAAGTTTTCAGAATAATGCGTTTTACAAGCAACAGTGGTGCAGTTTCACTTTCAGTACTTCCTGTTCACCAGCATGATCTGGTTACTGTCGGAAAGTTAGTTGTATAGAAACTCTTGAAAAACACTTAATTTGCTCCCTTTGTCTTCGCATTCTTATGAGGACATGCTGAAATAGATGTCACAGACAACATCAGCTTCCACAATGCTTAGTAGTTCAAACATTTCGAATTAAACGACGTGATGTTTGAGAACGGTCCTGCGCGAAACACTCGTCCACAGCCGATGAGGAAGCTCTGCCAAAGACTTCTAATGTAGAGCCATATGTTACCATTAATTTACCTATTACACGCGCATACTGGTATCATCAACTATCCAAATCAATAGTTATCCCAACATTCTCTTCTTTTTCGACATCATCCGAAATTTCACCATTACCCTAGCAGAATCACCAACTCTCTCAACTCTCGCGTTTCTTTTCCCGCATAGAAACAACATTGTAGAAGAAACTTCATTGAGAATACAACCTGGCTCTTCTTCATCAATCCTACCACAAACAGTCAGTGATATGGGCGACTAGTTTCAACCATTTAAAATAAAACCATAATGTCGACGTGTAGAATGTTCTCCTCTTTTACTGCTCGGATATTTAAGGAATGTTGTGCAATACTATGGCCTCCCACTAAGCTCCACCATGATGGCCGTCGTCTTTTGTACTCATCATCAAAATTTGGCGAAAATTATTCAAAATAGCGGTCGAAACATCAAGAAAGGCCCTCCGTTGTATACAGCACCACACACTCACAGGTCGCGAAGGGTGGTGATTCGGGGATTCACTGAGTGAGGGTGATTTTACTACTTAGGCGGAAAGTTCTACTCTATTCCACATATATCAACGACTAATTGCAAACCAAAACATGATATCGGCTATTTTTCCGTCTAGCTATCGTCAGAGCACTACATATTATAAGTGTTACAGTTATGAAAAGTAAACCGCAGACTTGATCTGTTATGAAATTATTAAGCTGTTATTGGTTATGGCAAGTTATTAAATTCGTCTTCTTTCCGTCAATTTTTGACAGACTTTTTCGCTTCCTATACGGTATTCAACAGCCTCCCATTCGCCCTTTTAAATATGAAGAAATGACCATGTTCGTTTAAAATCAGTTGCTCAATAAAATGTTGAGTATTGACCTATTTTTTAGGGAAATGCACTGCACTAAATCAAATTAAACATCGTGGAGACGATGTACCTCCTGGCATATCAAATCAGTGTCTGCATCCTCTCAGACAAGGTATCAATTTTCTCGCAACGGAAAGATGGGAGATTTGCTTAGGCTAGACTGAGATATGGAACGAGTGACCACATGCAGCGCCGATGAACCTCTTACCACTGCGCTACGTACAGCATTCACAAGCCCATATTGTGTGACTTTTTAGATCGAACATAATAAAAAGAGTTATTTTTGTAAGAAGATAAACGACAACTAGCCGAAAATAACACCCTGAAAAGAGAAAAAAATCACCGACATTACTGGTAGCGCGAACATTGACAACGTTCTGGGACACTTAACCTGTGCTTCCGGTCGAAGCACAATGGACCCTCCTGCTCATGAAATGGACGATGAGAAATCTTTTGATGCTTGCTTGAACCATTCAATGATTAATGCTACAGCATTCGATAACTGCATATGCTGATAGAATGTTTCGATGCTTGGAAGGCCACTCACCTTATATCTTAGAACGATCCTACCAAGCAATCTTGTTTCAATATCTGGAATAGAAACGGTTTTCCGCCATCCTTTACATTCTGCCTAAACGAACGAATACGTTGTGTAAAGGAGGAAAAATGTGCGGGATGGATGATTTGCAAAGTGACAGATTTTTCCTCACCGTGTTTATATCGATCATTTACACACACAGTATTCTGTGCTGTCAGAAAAAAAAGAAAAGGCGAACAGCGCCAATATTCTCATAATTTGAAATCATTGCTTTTAAAGAAATCATTTTCGGTGTTAAATTGTCACCAGCAGAAATATTCCAGTGCTAGCAAAGCTTGGTGGCCATAATGTTAACAACTAGTCGTCCTGTGGTGATTTTGCTAGTGATAAGGATGATGATTTCAGATCTCAAGTTAGAATTCCTGCCTAGCTGAGGCAAAGTTGTATGAATTTGGCGAACAATTTTACTTTCCTAATAGTTCTAATTGTTCAAAGAATAAGTTCGTTATGTTTTCGACACACATCTTGGACGTCGATGCAAGGCCAACCTGCCAACCGCTGCTATCCGTTATTAAAACATTACTTTCATTCTAATTCACAAATTTAGATTGAAAGTAACAAATCGGAAAGTGCAAAAAATCGGAATCGGTTTAGTGTTTAAAAAACGCTTTGGAGGAATACAATAAAACGAATAAAAATTTTGTAATAATCGCCGAAATTACCGAGAGATACGTTTCAAATCCAAGCGTACTTGAATCAAACACATCAAAGTAAAACTACAAGGATGCTGAGATATGAGCAAAACTCGGAAGCACAGTTGGGTCGAACCCGCAATTATCATTACCACTGGCTCACCTGCTATTCACCACACCAACCGAGGTCCTTGTCTTGCTTTTCTCTCAACTACTTTTTTTCTCATCCTAACGATATTATCACCAATCTGCCGTCAACGAGAATGATATGGGGAGCATATATCGACAATGAACCCAGTTAAGCTGAAGCTTCAGTTGAAATCACAATATCTCAATCATTATTTACTGCCACTTTTTTTCTGTTATATTTTACTTTTACTGACGGCCTATTCTTTCCTCACTTTTATTTAGTGCCTATTCTTCATTTATTCCTACTTCTTTTTTATTAATTTTTTACCTACTCTGTTTTCTCCAATCTTCTTTCATTCCTTTTGTCTTTTAAGCACCGATAGAATAAAAACATAACTGAAAGAAAAACAAATCAAGGGCCTCGGTTGATGTGGTGCACGGCACATAAGCCCCCACCCAGGGGTGGAGCATCCTTATGGTTGTATTCCACACAGTAACCTACCATTAAAAAAAGCATGGGTATTAAATAAAGGTTAGAACAAGATAAGTTATTTTTAAAATTGGTGTATCATATTCGCCACCTTATGATCCTTCCATCCTAAGTTTTGACATGTCTTTCCACAAAAGAGAGCAAATTCGCAACCAAGGCATCTTCTGTAACAACTAACAGTGTAACGTTTGATAACATTCCCTTTAAAACAAAGCATGTAAGTTAACAGTTTAGAATAAGCACATAATGTCTGTTGATATATGCTAGAGTGTCTTAGGAAGTGTAAGTAGAAAACACCGTAACACACTGGAACAATGATGCGTTATGTTAACCGGATCACAAAAATTTCTCTTCACCATCTGTTATTTCCAATCTCAGCCAAACATCACTACAGTACAGTTGTTCACAGCTTTGTTGCAAAGCATAAAAAATCGAAGCAAGCCAGAAAAGTTGAGGATGCAAGGAAATAGAAAGAAGTATTTGAAATAGCGACAAATAACCCTCTCATTTGCTTTCGTGATGTCTGTAGAGGTATGACGGATTGCTTTGCTCATGCAATAAAGCCATGCATTAGAGGATAAGAAGTAATACATCATCAAAGGCATACAAGTAAGGCGCGTTAATTTTTCTTTCGGAGTTAAACGAATTGTTATGCTTCCCATCAAAAGGATGTGAAATAATGACGTCCACAGAATTGTACTTGGTTCTGATAAATGAAATTTAAACGGTCGCCACGGGAAACCTTAATTTCCCTTCATGGCACTTCGATTTACATTTTCCATGAAAATTTTGATATCGATCAAGCTTCTTTCACTTTCAAACTGAAAACAGATCTAGGCACCAGATACAAACTTCGCGCTCAAACAGGTATCACTCGCACATTGTCACCGGTTGTTTATCACTATTACTTCATTCGTCTCCCCTATTCACAAACAGACATTAACACTGAAACTTAAATACCTACGTAGGTAAGCATGTATTAATTTGCCAGATCATACTTTCTGCCCTTTCATGGACTCAGCTACAAAACAATTTGTTGTTCTACGTCGTGCGAGCAGCAAGAAATAACAGCAATAATATGTATTCTTTCTTGATAAGCTTGCACGAGGTTGATAAATATATTTATTTTCGGCTAACGTTTCGACGTCTTCGTCTTCCTCAGAGCCGATGATCCGAGTCGATGGTCCATGATTGTTGTTCGTCTCGACGTTGCAGCTTCGTTTCGACGTCTTAGCCGAAAATAAATATATTTGTCAACCTCGTGCAAGCTTATCAAGAAAGAATACATATTGATTAGTCACACCGAGGTTTAGAGAAAGTCGGTTTCGAAACAGCAATAATCTTTTTTTACACTAGAAGAACTAACGTGGGAACCATTTGCTTTTATAAATTTGATTCCAACGCGACACCAATCCCTTTTTAACACGCTCATAGTTGGCTAGTCA